TTAGTGCACAATGTTACACTCACAAATATGACAACTTAGAGGAAATAGACCAATTCTTTAAAAGCTGCAAACTATGATAACATAACCAAGATGAAGTGGATAATCCAGCCTCCATTATAACCAATAAAGACAATGAATTTATCACACAGAACCCCTCAGAAAAGAATCTTCAGACTTGCATGGTGTCACTATTTCTTTTTCCCAAATATTTAAAGAAATATTCACAATTTTACAGTATTTTTCCAGAAAATAAAAGAGAAAGAAGCATTTTTCTTTCTCTTTTTTTTTCTTTCTTTTTTTTTTTTTTTTTTTTTGCCAGGCAGAGTTAGACAGTGAGAAAGAGAGACAGAGAGTTACAGACAGTGAGAGAGAGACAGAGAGAAAGGTCTTCCTTCCGTTGGTTCACCCCCCAAATGGCCGCTGTGGCCAGTGCTGCGCCAATCCGAAGCCAGGAGCCGGGTACCTCCTCCTGGTCTCCCATGCGGGTGCAGGGACCCAAGTACTTGGGCCATCCTCTGCTGCCCTCCCGGGACCCAGCAGAGAGCTGAACTGGAAGAAGAGCAACTGGGACTAGTACCCGGTGCCCCAACCAGGAATAGAATCCAGGGTGCCAGCGCCACAGGTGGAGAATTAACCAAGTGAGCCACAGCGCAGGCCAAGAAGCGCTTTTCTACCAATTTGAGGAGGCCAGTATTACTCCGGTGCTAAAATAGATACATTACCAAATAGAAAATTACAATTAACTCTAATGAACTTTGAAACAAAATTCCTTGATAAAATATCAGCAAATCAAGTAATAAAATGATGTGTGAAAAAGATTATAAATGGTGACCAAGGGCAATGTATTCCAAGTATGCAAAGTCTTGTTCAGTATTTGAAAATAAATATAGTCTATCGCACTAGCAGGCTGTCATAAAATCACCTGGGATGGGCTGTATTTTGTTCCTATCTCCAATTTCAAATGTTGAAATTTTTACTGCTGGTACCTCAGAATGTATTTTGAAATGTGTTCTTAAAAGGGAGAATTAAGGGGCTGGTACTGTGGCATAGCAAGCAAAGCCGCTGTGCTGCCTGCAGTGCCGGCATCTCATATGGGTGCCAATTCAAGTCCTGGCTGCTCCATTTCCAACCCAGTTCTCTATTATGGCCTGGGAAAGCAGCAGAAGATGGCCCCTGCACCCGCATGGGAGACCAGGAAGAAATTCCTGGCTCCTGGCCTTGGATTGGTCCAGCTCTGGCTGTTGTGGCCATTTGGGGAATGAACCAGAAGATGGAAGATCTCTCTCTCTCTCTCTCTCTAACTCTACCTCTCACATAAATAAATAAAATCTTAGAAATAATAATAAACTTGTAAATGTATTATACACGTGCTGCTCAACACATTCATTTCATTGATTATTTTCCCTTCACTTGCTCCTCATGATATTGTTGAGTTCAAAACTTATAATGATGAGTCTACAAAGAAAAAGTATCTGTCCATATAGCTATTACTTAATTGGCTTGGAAAAATAGGGAATGGTATAGGAAATTATAACAAAAGCAGCAGAAGAAGATGGCCAAAAGTGCTTGGGCCCCTGCATCCATGTGAAGAAGAAGCTCCTGGCTCCTGGCTTCCAAAGGGCCCAGCTCCGGCCGTTGCGGCCATTTGGGGAGTGAACCAGCGGACAGAAGACTTCTCTCTCTCTCTCCCTCTGCCTCTCTGTAACTCTGCCTTTCAAATAAATAAATAAATCTTTTTTAAAAAAAATTAGTATTCCAGGAAGTCATACAATTGAGCTGAGATTCAGTTTCCTCATCCTTGAAATTACTGTGCCAACACAGTTTATGCCAATCTGTTTAAATGCTAGTCAATACAAGGCCGGAGCAATGACAAGGCACCAAGGGATCCCAAAAACTGCTATGAATTATTCTGAACTCTTTAGAGGAGATTGCAAGCTGAGTACACTAGCATTGAACGTTCCCATGTCATAAAAAGTCTCAAAATCTACTTCCACACAAAGTACAGTGCTTATTAAAGGATAAGTCATAAGGATGTGCTGCTCTGTTTCTAAAGAAAACTGTTCCTTGAGCAATTAATTGCCTAAGATTTAGATAGAAAAAAAGCACTTTTAAGGTAATAACCTACCACTGGTTTTGTTTACATACAGTAATTATTGTTACACATGTCATCATAAAGGTAAACACTCTTTTTTATTATTGTTTATCAATTCTCTATCAACAATGCATTTTCTTTTTATTAATCTAAAGACAACAGTTTGCATATTTAATAGCTACAATTCTAAATTTGCCTGTCCTGCCTCCTACCTTTCCTCCTTCCCTCTGCCTTCCTTCCATCATTTCTTATCTTTTAATTTTTGCAATAACATTTTCAATTTACTTTATAATCATAGGTTTAATGTTATGCTAAATATAGTGTTAAACAAGGTAAACAAGGGCTATAAATAATAATCAAATTATAAAATATCAATTTCACTTTTATACATTCAGATATTTCTTGTTCTGTCTATATTAGCTACCACAAATAAGAAAAAAATGTTCTTTGGGTCTGGCTTTCACCAACATAATGGCCTCCATCTGCATATATTTTGTTGCAAAAGACAGGATTTCATTCTTTTATAAGGCTGAGTAGTATTCCATCATGCATATATACACCACATTTTCTTCATCCAGTCATCAGTTGATAGACATCAGGATTGATTCCATATCTTATTTATTGTGACTTAAGCTACTATAACAACAAGGGTACAGACAACTCTTTCATATGCTAATTCCATTTCCTTTGAGAAAATTCCCAGGAGTGGGATAGCTGGGTCATATGGTAGATCTATTTAAGGATCTCTGAGGAACCTCCAAACTGTCTTCCATAATGGTTGTACTGGTTTACATTCCTCCCAACAGTATAATAGGGTATATTTTTCTCTATATCTTCACCAGCATTTGTGTTTTTTTTTAATTTTTTTTTTTTATTTCTAAATTTGAGTTTCTTGAAGCCTACACCTGAAACTTCTGCCACTGGCTCTTGGTACCACTGCTTGCAAATATTCTTTTGTTGTGAACATTTATGTGTGTTTTTGGAAACAAAATAAAGATGACTAAGTAATAAAATGAGTATTTATGAACAATTTGGCTTTGCTGTATAATAACACAGCTTCATGAAAAGCCAAGTTCCTTCAAACAGGGGCAGTCTACAGCCCAATCAGATGCCTTGGAGTGTTATGACCTCATTGTTGTGACAAAGGTGAACTTGACCTGAGCTTTCTTGGCTCGGAGCTTAAAAGATCTCCCTGTCAAAGGAAAGGATTCTTCCGTTTTGGCAACATACTCCCTCTTACAAGGGTGAATCACTTGTCAAAAAGCAAGTTATGGCATCACTGTGACCACTTAGATGAAACCTGTAGCTGCCTCTTCACTTTCTCTTTCCAGGGAGATATGCTTTCCTGGTCCAGAGTCTTAAACTGTGAAAGGTCAGGGTCAAATGACCAGCAAAGGCCATGACCATTTAAGAGATCACTGTCTTCTGCTGGCTGCTTTGTCTTGAGTGCCTCATAGAAAGCATATTTATTACCATGCTGCAGTATGGATAACAGGTGCTTTGCATTCTTCAATAAACTCTGGGACACCAATGGCTTACATTATATGGAAAACAGTGGATTTCTTTTCAGATGAAATGTTTAAAGCAATGCTATTAATAATGCTGTGTATAACAGCTGCATTTATTTATTCATAAATACAGTGCAAACATCTTACTTGTCAGAAGGAGAGGATTTTCTTTTACTATAAAAAGATAATTAATTCAGGCTGGATGAACTTAATGGTGCATTTGCCATCTGGGCAAAGCAAACAAAACACCAGAATAGAACTCTGTGAAGAAAAAAATAATCAAAATATGAAATAAAAATACCTGCTTATGCTTTATTTTGATTTCATGAATAACAAATAATTTTCTACCCCAGGTATAATGTTTATGCTTATTTTGAAAGAAATATAAAAGGCAATAGGGCATAGAAAAAATATACAAGTGAGGCTGGACAGAACTTTCAGGTGGTTTCTTGTTTTGTATTTTTAAATTTTATACATCAGTAGCAGAAGCAAAATATTTTCAAGATTCTGACACTCTTCTTATCTATGCCCAAGAGGGACAGAAACTCTTAGCAAATAGAATAAGGTAACTAAAAGTACTTTATGAGCTATAAAGAATCACAAAATTTTAAGAGCAGTAATACTATTACCATCAGCCTGGTGTGTCCTTAGAGAGGACAATGCAGACACATTGGTGGTTTGAATTCAGTGATGTTCAGGAAGCTGAACTTTGCTGATGACCATTATCTTAAAAACCTTAGAACAGACAGCACTTGTCATGTAGAACCAACACCACGCTGACATTCCAGTTTCATTTTTAGGCTTTCAGCTGTCACTTTTTCAGAACTGTTGCTTCTTTCCTATCCTCTCCTTGAACCCACCAGCTTTCTTCTCTTCTAAGCCCCTGCGTATTCAAAACCTGCAAGTCCCTGATTACAAGTAGTATAATTGTGATTCCAAAGCTCCCTCCTTCACCTGCACATCCTGATTTTTTCCATTTCCCTTGCTTCAACAGCACCTGTCATCACTCAGCAGCGCACAGTTCTCATGCATTGGTGCCTTCCTCAATCCTTTTGCTCTTGATGAAACTAATTGGTCTCCTTTGTACCAAACAGTTTTCAATGCAAAGTGATTTAAAATATTATTATTGCAAGAAACCTTCCCTGTGATGAGGTTTTAACCACAGACCAATTCTTACAATCCTTAGACCCCAACACTGGACTTGCACATTATTCCTTATGACTTTAAGCCTTTAACATCATATATACCATCAATATATTCATTGGCAGTGACCACCTACTGAAATTGATTTCTATTAAGTATTGCAAGGAAATAAATGACTGCAGTGACAACATGTAAGATGGTGTATGTGAGGTGATTTTATGAACCCGGGATTGAGTGGTAAGGAGACTTTGATTGCAGTTTATTCTCTTGACAATAAAAATGATGCCTCATTTTTTTTTTTTAGTGATTTCAGAGTAAGAGTCTTATTTCTTCTGAGGTTTTAGAAAAATTCTTACCAGAGCCTATCTATTCCTCTGATTAACTCTTCCAGCATCCCCCAGGATAATTCCTTGTTGCAATCCATAGCCAAACTCAGATTTCACTTTCTCAAAGAAGCTCTTTCTGACAACTTGAACAACTGAACAACACTGGTCCTCCCTGTATACACTGTCAAGTGGGGCCCATCATGATGTTGGTAACAAGTAACAAAAAACTCAACTTTGCCAGTAGAACAGTAATGTGGGATGTTCACTCCATGAGGGCTGAGAGTATGGATTTCTCATCACAGTTGTGATTGCATTACCAAGCATAAGGTGCGCACACCAATTTTCAATAAATATGGTCACAATAAAAAGGAGAGTGAATTCCTTCATGAAAAATATGAGAGTGATAATAGTGATGGTGAAAACAAATAAGCTATAAGGAGATCCTGGATTCTCTGAGAGCATTATTCTGAAAGTTTTGGCACTGTACAAGTGAAGTGTACAATTTTTAAATTTGCTTCTGTGTAGCAACTTCCTCTTCAATTCTTCCAATAGTTAAACTTATTTTGAAATGCAAGATTGAAAAAGTAAAATTCAGGATGAAAGCATGACTATTTACTCATGATTCATTAATTTTTCCTCTAGTTTACATCAGATAGAGGATGCAATTATGATTAGGAGACTTCATAATGAAGCCGAAGTGCACTTTGCATAACAAATTATTTCATAAGGCCATGATTCAGCCATCAGACACACTCAGAAACACTGAACTGAATTTCTATGGAAATGGGACTTCCTCTGGGTGAAATATTTACATATGACATGGAAATGCTAAGCCTGACTTACCTGTGAGTGCAGAGAACTTACACCAAGCCTGACACAACACACATAATGAAATATAACAGCATTTTCTAATATTTCTGTTTTGGGTGGGGGAGAGGGCATACAAATCATGTTATTTGATTTTCATATCATACATGTCAGGGTGACCTTATGAGCTGCTGAATTTGATGTCCATAAACAGAAACACATCAAAAGCTATAAGCTCTTCCTGCAACAATAGGACCAAAACAAAGTAATTCTATTGATTCACTCTTCTAACATAAAGACTGAGAGTACATAAAACTAGACCTGTTGGTTGATTTTTAAATTATTTTAGCACACAAATTATGTATTGGTTCTGCTTGCTTTCCCACCATATTATCTGCCTTCTGGTTCTTTCTGTGTATCAAAGATAGAGTATACAGATAATATTCTCTCATATATCTTTTCCTTAGTTGAAATTAAGAAATTTAAGTGCACAACTCACCACTATGACTTTGGACTATAAACTTGATTTTTAGCAGGCTTGCTTTCACTGTTTGAAGTTAGGTATAGAACTTTGTGCTTTGCTTTAATATATGTAACATATGGGGGCCAGCGCTGTGGCTCATTTGCTTAATCCTCCACCTGCAGCGCTGGCATCCCATATGGGCTTCGGGTTCTAGTCCCGGTTGCTCCTCTTCCAGTCCAGCTCTCTGCTGTGGCCCGGGAAGGCAGTGGAGGATGGCCCGAGTGCTTGGGCCCCTGTACCCGCTTGGGAGACCAGGAAGAAGCACCTGGCTCCTGGCTTCAGATTGGCACAGCACTGGCCATAGTGGCCATTTGGGGAGTGAACCAATGGAAGGAAGAACTTTCTCTCTGTCTCTCTCTCTCTCACTGTCTATAATTCTACCTGTTAAATAAAAAATATATATGTAACATATGGCAAATACTTTCAGCATGTAGGGTAGCAGGTGAGCCACACACACAGTATCCTTTAGACAAATGATGTTAGGTCTATTAAGGGGCATGGCTCAAGAAGGGCAGAATCTTAAACACAAAAAAAGACTAATTCTGAACACAAATATGAACAACACGATAGACTGTTTTATGCGATTGTCTCTTAACTAAGAGTATTTTGAGAAATTGTAGATCCGTGTCTTGAGTTTCCTAAGATCAGATCATGTGAGCCATATTACATAACTATGTGAGAATAATTCTACTTCTGAGCTGGAAATTTTAAACTCATTGTATGCTAATTTAAACAAAATGGCTATTGCTCACTGTAAAATATTATTGGTAATGTAAATGGCATTATACCTTTTCTTCCCTCAAATTAATAAACTCAGGAGTTAGACTAACCTTTGTTTAAGACTCGAAATGGAAAACTTAGAATTAAAAATTTTTCATTTTCCCGACTCTCTACCAACAGAAAAGCTAGAGATCTTGCTAATTTTAGATAGTACTGTATAGAAGATTTATAAATGATTATGAAAATTATACACAGAAAAGAACAAGCAATTTCTGTTAGATAATGTTGACTCAAAAAATCATCAGGTTTATCCTAAAACATGACAAAAATATGAAAATAAAATATCTGTACTTGGGAAAGCATGAAATAAAATATTGATATTAGTTTTCTGTATATCATCCTTCCTATCACCAAAAGTTACCACCACCACCACCTGTGATTCAGTATTGTCCATTGCATGCCCTGTATTGCAATTTCTTTCTTTCATGACAGGAGTTTTATGTACCAATAATTACGTTACAGAGTAAAGCCCAGGGTTCACACATGTTTCCTGTTTTCCTTGTTGGTAGCCAATTTTTCCTCATTACTACATCCAGTGGAGAAGTCAGAGAGGAATACTTGTCAGTGGTTCCCCTCTGGCAGGAGCATCCCAGCATGGGTGTGGACCTGTGGTACTGGTACCCAGTCCTACCATCTGTTACATGATTTGACTCTCCCCTTCAGTGACTGCTCCCTATGTTTCCATAAGAGGTAAAATACCAACGCAATTGCAAATGATAAAATATATACACAAATTTATTCAACATTTTTCATCATGCTACACATATATACAATCTCAATAAATTAAAAACAAGCTAGCAAAATATGTCTGTACAAAGTCTGTAGTCACTATGTTATTCATTTTTGTACCTTTATTTCTAGGATTTCATTTGATCCAACCCCTTCTCATCTGCTTGCAGGAAAAACGTGTTCTGGCAGCACATTTGAAATGCAGTGTCTTGTTGCCTCCAAGCAGCAGGAAGGAGTTTGTTAATAATGGAAACACTGCACAGGATCCACGGCAGTCAAGGAGAATTGATGAACATTTGTACAATATGTATAAAACTCTGCAAAAATTCAGTAATATTTTTTTCCTCCAGTTCCTCACATTCTTTGCAACCAGATTCCGTTACATTCTGCTGAACAAAAAGAAAGAATTAGCTGGGCATGCCTAATGCACTTCTTTCCTAGGGATATCACATCATTTGAACTTTCTGGTTCTGGAGACATAAAAACTTTGGCCAATTAATGTACATTAGGAAGAACTATGACAACAGAGAACTAGTAGATTTGATATGGGCATTTTCTTTCTATAGTAGATAAAGGTTATTGGAAAAAAAAAAAGCTGTGTCTACCAAGCTATGAACTTCCAGTTTAAAGCCTTTCAGTGGTGTCTTACCATCTACCCCTAGCATTAGGCATTAAGTTCAACACCCACCTCATGCACCCACCCCCTTAGCACACAGGTTCTTTCCTGACCTATTTCTTTAAGCTTTCACCACCACCTTTACTGTGGGGGACAAAATCACAGAGTGATCCCCGCCTTCCACTCCCATGCACACATCATACCATTAGATGCCCCTCTGCCTTGCTAATGTAGCTGCTGCTACTCACACAGTTTGTTCAGGTGTTGTCTCCTTTAGGAAAGCTACCCTGGACCCCTGAGCTCCCCAGCCTTAGGTTCCATATGCCTTCTCCAGGTCCCAGAATCTTTGTTCAGACATTTCTCACAGTATCTCATATACTATGTATTATGGTATACTTCATATACCACTGTTTTCTAAGCTCTCTTCCAGGAGGGCAAGACCATGCATTTTTGTTTGCCTAGCACTCAGCATGGGACCCAGCACATGGTAATCATCTGGACATTTTGGCTCAGTGGGGCCATTTAGGTGAATATCACAAATTGCTGTAATTCAAACACAGTCTCATGAATAATGAGAATGTTTCAAATGCAGCAGTCATGAATAAACTTTTTAGAGATCATCTGAACCATGGGGGCTGTGCCAGCAAAATTCCAAATTAGATTTTAAATCCATTAAGCTTTTGGAATTCAGATTCACCAGTGTTTATCAAGCACATAGTCAATGCTCAGCACGGTCATATTTCATATAGTGCTGTCCTATTTGATCCTGAAAATAATCATGTCAAACAGGAAGGCAGAGATATGAAGTGACTCATTCCAGTCGACATAATCAGTGGAAACTCTCCACATCTCGGCCTTGCTGGCCTGCCACTCACTCCAGTATGCAGGCCACACTGTCAAGATGAGGGTGACCAGAGAGATGAACACCAAGCTTCAACACTAATACTGCCATAAGTTGTCTGCTCCATGGCTCACTCTCCCTGGGTGAGATGGAGATTACCTATCACAAGAGTTTGTTAGCAATAACTCCATTTCATAAGTATATTGAGTGTTTAGTCTATACAAGGCATTGTTCCGGGAATTGGGATTCCATGCTGGAAAAAAAAAAAAAAAAAAGAAACATTTGCCCTTTTGAAGCTGTTATTCTAGTAGGAAAAACAGCCAATACTCACTAAGCAAAATGTATAATATGTCAGATGGTAGACATGCAGGGAAGAACACAGGGAATGCTAAAGTCGGGGAGGGATTGCAACTGTAAGAAGTGACATCACTGAGACACTACAGCATCCTGGCATCCCAGACACACTAGCTCAGGGTCTTTGAATGTTCAGTTGCCTCTGCCAGAACACACTTCTGTTGGTACCCTTGAGGCTCAGTCCTTCACACCCTGGTCAAATTTCAGCTTATTAGTTAAACTGTCTCTAAACTAGGACTTCTGTCCCTCCTTATCTGCCTTCTTTTTTGTCACTGGACTTAATAAATAACTGTATAATTATTCATTTGCTTATTGGTTAATTGTGAGCAGGGATTGTGATTTTTTTTTCATCCTGTGTCTTGAGCACCAGGATTTATTAAATGAACTAATTTTATTATCACCTCCGCAATATAAAACTCCTATCGCTTTGGACACTAGTGATTTGCCATGAAAGCCATCATTCTTTGTACATCAGGGCATTTGTGTGTTCATCCCACAGCTACCATGAGAGTTGCCAGCAATGTTCTGGAACATTCCACTGCCCATATTACCTAAGATATGCAAAATTATATTTAAATATTAATACTTTCATTATTCTTTTTAAAAATTTGCATTTCCAGGAAAAAGAGGACTGACTCCAGAGTGAAACTTCCTGGAAAAGAATCATGGCTGCCCATTCGACTGTGTTTCATCTAAGCCCAGTGCTCCAATTTCTTCAAACCTCATACAGAGATAAGGATAACTACTTCACATATGTATTGTGAGGATTAAGTGAACTGCCGCCCAGTTATAGCTTGAAGAATAGTGTCTGGTCCACCATAGTAACTCAATAAATGTGAGCTACTACTATACTTGATTATGTCAGTAGACTACTGTCTGTCAGGTGCACCTGAGGATAAACACCTAGAGGTGAATAACCTGTTTGGCTTACCACTAGGACCTGGCATCAATACACACTGTCTAACATTATTCAGCAAATGTTTGTTTACCAAATAAGCGCATGAGTAATTCTGGATGGTGTGCATGCCTACAATGTTGTCACTTTCAGATGTCACTCCACTGGATTTGAACGCTGTCACCCAAGTGCCCTTTAGGAGGATCTGCTTGTCCATTAATAACTTCCCACAATGAAGCCAAAAGCATCGGATGTGGCTCTGTGTAACTTCTAGATAACTCACCCCTTTAGAAGATAAACTGGTATTTGCTAGGATGATAAGGTTTTGTACTGTTTCATTAATGTCCATGTTTCTGGACTCATGAGAAATAACTCGTAACTCCAGGAGAAAGCACTTCATCGCTGTGACTTTGCAATTGGGCTAAAAATAAAAGTTACAGAGAACCATTTTGAAAAAAATATTTTCTCATTATTCAATTTTACATTCATGCAATTTTGAATTTTTTCAGTCAAGGACTTTTTTAAAAGATTTATTTATTTATTTGAAAGTCAGAGTTACACAGAGAGAGGAAAGGCAGAGAGTGAGAGTGGTCCTCCATCCGTTGGTTCACTCCCCAGATGACCACAACGGCCGGAGCTGTGCCGATCCTAAGCCAGGAGCCAGGAGCTTCCTCCGGGTCTCCCACGCAGGTGCAGGGACCCAAGCACTTGAGCCATCCTCCACTGCTATCCCAGGCCACAGCAGAGAGCCAGATCAGAAGAGGAGCAGCCAGGACTAGAACTGGTGCCCATATGGGATGCCAGTGCTTCAGCCCAGGGCATTAAGCCACAGCGCTGGCGCCTGAAGTCAAGGATTTTATAAACATACATAATGCTCTTCAAATTTTATGAGCATTCAGTTTAATTTTTTCTTTTGGCTTAGAAATAAAAATTGAAACAAACCAATAAAATAATTACAAAGAATATCACTATTGTGCAGGAGAAAGAACATAAAACTAGAGAACCTAGAAAGAGTAGACATTTGCTCACTGAGCACATTTCTCCTATGGAAAGAGTAATATTGGACCCCTAGACTCTCAAAATATCAATACAGTCAATTGTAAGAATGTTTAAAAATCAGACTATATATTATCATTTTAATTGTAATCATCCTATACCTGCAAGTTCCAAATTTTCAGAGGCATAAGTGATTCCAAGAAATTTATTAGAAAAATCAAAGCAGATATAGTACCTATCCATAGCTGAATGTATCAGAAAGATTACCACAAAAATACCTTTCCCACATTAGTTACTTTATTTAAATCCTAAATTTCAAAGAAAGGAAATATTTAATGAACATGTGGAGATTTGATCATGATTCCAGTGACTCTGTGTTCACAATGGCTTGCACAGTGCTCGGGACCCTGCAAGCAATCCACATGATCACTGAATAAAGGAATAAATACAGGAGCAAATCTATGTGCCTGGGACTAGCAATGTCCTTTACCCCCAACAGTAGCTGCTTAGGATTGAAAAGCAAATATTGTCACCATACTAGCAAAAACGAAACCGAGGTTCAGAAATATTGAATTACTTCCAAGGTAACTCAGGAGGAAGTGGCTGAGTCAGTATTCAAATCTGAATTTCAAATTTGGGTTCTTTCTACAACCCATGAGCTACAAGATTATCTGGCAAAACCAAAAAATCTCAGAATGTTAAGTGTTGGTGGTTAGCTGAATGCTTTCTGCTTTGAAAAACAAATGAAAATAGAAAAGATGCTTAGGCCAGAGGAGTGCAGCAGCAGTACCCTAGTGATCGAGAGATACTGCTTTTTTCCAGTGTTTGGATGTGGCTTCTTTCCAATGCTTAGAAAGTTTGAGTGGGGACAATGCTTTCTATTTCAGAGAAATTCTAACTGAGACAGAATATTGTGTTGAACGCACACAACATAGTTTGTTTTCTTGGTTTTAGTAACAATCCAGAGAAAAATGATTAAGATCATGACTGCAATCATGTTTGCTTTAGGCAATATAAATATATTTACGAAGTAAGTTCAAGGTCATTTTTGAATTCTGATCAGGTTTATAGATTATATTTCTTTTCTCACCTAGAGAATATTTAGTCAAAACTCTTTCCTGACAAAAGTAGGGAATCCCGGAAAAGGAGGAACACAGATGCCTTTAAGCAACTTGTAGAAACCACAATTAGACTTGCTGACATACTGCGGCACTGGAAATAACTGAGATGCTGGATACTTTTAAGTTGAATCACTCAATCTGATTCGTGCATCTGACTGCATCAAGACGCAACTACATCACAAGAACACATAATATATTTTGTTTGACATTGATAGAAAAGGGGTTTTTTTATTTTGATTTGGCATCATTATAAAAAAGCATTTATGAAGTTTTCTCCTCAAGTCAAACAACCTCAACAATCACTTATAAATTTCATTCATCATATAAGAGCACATTATAAGTTAGATTAAAACCTGCACATGGGGACAAACATTTGGCCTAGCAGTTAGGCTGCCACTTAGCATGTCTGCGTCCCATATCAGAGTGCCTGGGTACAAGTTCCCTCTATCCCTGGTTCCAGCTTCCTGCTAATGTGAACCCTTGGAGGCAGCAAGTGATTCCCTCCACTGCTGGTTCCAACTTCCTGCCAATTCCTTCCCCTGGAGGCAGCAAGTGATGGCTGAAGTGGTTGAGTCCCTGTCATGAACATGGTGACCTGGATTGAATTACTGTCTCTCAGCCATGCCTAACTCAGCCTAAGTCATTATGGGCATTTGTAGAATGAACCGGTGAATGGGACATTTTCTCTGTCTCTTTCTATCAAATAAATGAATTTAATATAACAATTTAATTCTAAAACACACATTTTAATTAAGTAGTGAAAATGCACTTCTTAGACTTTTGAAAACTGGAAAGTAAAGCAATTTTGAATAAAATACTGTACTCACATGAGCATCACTCTCAGTATATAAAGTAGCATCAATATGGATGGACTGAAAGGAAACAGAATTCAACAACATGAAAATCCATGCCTCGTTTTAGATAATATGAATACAACATCCTGAAAAAAACCTCAGCTTTTTAAATTAAATTTCTGGAGATAAGTTTATATTCATATCAAGTGTAAGAGAAAATACAGAGATCCTGTGTACCTTTCATCAGGTTTCCCCCAATGCAATACCTTGCATAACCAGTGTCATATTATAGCCAGAAAACTGACATACATACTATAGTGGGTATGTGTGTGCACATGTCTGTGCAGTTTCATCACTCACTCAAAACGGTTCTATCGTGATGAGGCTCCTCCTGCTCTTCTTGTACAGGCAAACCCGCCACCCTCTCATCTCATCTCATCTTCCCACCACCACTTTATCCTGCTGATCTCCAGCTAACCCTTCTCTGTTCTCCATGTCTATGATTTTGGATGTTTAGCTTTAAAATATTCTCTTTTTTTTTGAGAGGTTGTGGATTTACAGAAAATGAACTGAAATTATAGCACTCTCATATGCTCTGTTACCCTAATCCAGTTTTCCCTATTTTTAAGGTCTTGAATTAGTGTGGTACGTTTGTTACAACTGAGTCAATATTGCTACATTATTAAGTCTACAGTCTATTAGGGTTCATTTTTTATGTCTCAATTTCTCCGTGTCTTGACAAACGTATAGTGACATGCATTCACTATTACAGCATCATATAGAACAGTTTCACTGCCTTTCCCCCAACCCTTGGCAACCATTGATGTTTAAAACTTTCTCCATAGTTTTCCATTTTCCAAAATTCCATGTATGTGGGATCATACAGTATGAAGTCTTTTCAGATTGGCTTCCTTCACTTACTATTATACTTTCAAGTTTTTTCCAATTCTTTTCATGGCTTGATAGCCCTTTTATTTTTCATCACTGAATGATTTTCCACTGTATGGGCGTACTAGAGTGGAGACTGGCTTTTTCACACAATATAATTCTCTTTAGATCCATCCAGCCTAACAATAGCTATTCATCTACTGAAGCACACAGTGCTCATTTGTGGTTTGGAGCAAATGAACAAAGCTCTATGAATACTTATGTGAATGCTTATCTGTGAATGCAAAGTTTCATTTCTGTGGGGTAAATATCCAAGAATATGTCTAACTGTTAGATCAGATGGAAAATGCACATCTTTTACAGGAAGCCGTCAGACTATGGAGTGGCTGTGCCATTTTATATTCTTAGCAGGAATGAATGATTCAATTCCTTCACAGTCTTTCCAGAATTATCACTAGTCTAATTACATTTATTTGACATTATCAGCAATTCTTTTTTATTTTGGACATTCTTACTGGTGCCTGAAGAGATGTCAATGTTATTTTAATCTGCATCTAAATAAAATACACTCAGATTTGGTGCTCTTCAAAACAAAACAAAAAAAAAATAGAAAGCTTGTTGAGGAGATTTATCTCTTTCCTTTCCAATCTGCATGCTATTTATTTATTTTTTCTGCTATGTTGAATGAAAATGGGGAAAGCCTACATGTATGCTTTTCTTCTGTTGCTAGGGGAAAGCATCCCATCTTTCACTCACCACTGAAGCACAGCAGTTGTAGGGTTGTTGCTAGGTTTTGTGTTCTCAAATTGAGGAGGTTCTCCTTGTCTCTACTTTGCTGAGAAATTTTAACTTGAATGGGTGATACAGGGATACCATGACAAAGTATCACAGACTGGTTGGTTTAAAAAACGCAAATCTATTTTGTCATAGTCTGAAGACCAGAAGTCTGACATCAAGGTGTATAAGGCTGGTTTCCTCTGAGACCTCCTTGCTTGGCTAATATTGACCGCTTTCTCTTGGTGTCTTCACTCTGTGTATCTGTATCCTCCTCTTACCTTTTTTGAAGAATACCAGACAGATGGGTTTAGGACCTAACCCAGTGACCTCATTTTGACTTTATTCATTCTTTTTTTTTTTTTTAAAAAAAGATTTATTCATTTATTTGAAAGGCAGAGTTACAGACAGGCAGAGGCAGAGAGAGGTCTTCCATCTTGCTGGTTCATGCCCTAGATGACTGCAACTGCTGGATCTGCACCTACTGAATCCAGGAGCCAGGAGCTTCTTTCAAGTCTCCCATGTAGGTGCAGGGGCCTAAGGACTTGGTTAATCTTCTACTGCTTTCCCAGGCCACAGCAAAGAGCTGGATTGGAAGTGGCACAGTCATGACTTGAACCAGCACCCATATGGGATGCCTGTGCTGCAGGCAGCGGCTTTACCAGCTATGCCCTAGAGCTGGCCCCTTAATTCTCTCTTTTTAGAACGCATCTCAAAACACATTCTGAGGTGCCAGCAGTAAGAATTTCAACATTTGAAATTGGAGATAGGAACAAAATAGAGACCATTAACAGGTGATTTTATGACTTAGCCTGATAATGTGATAGCCTATATTGATTTTCAAATACTGAACAAGACTTTGCATACTTGGAATACATTGCGCTTGCTCACCATTTATAATCTTTTTCATATGCCACTTTGTTATTTGATTTGCTGATATTTTATCAAGGAATTTTATTTTGAAGTTCATTAGAGTTAATTGTAATTTTCTATTTGGTAATGTATCTGCTTTAGCACCGGAGTAATACTGGCCTCCTCAATTCGGTAGAAAAGTGCTTCTTTCTCTTCTATTTTCTATAAAATACTGTAAAATTGTGAATTTTTCTTTGAATATTTGGGGAAAAGATACAATGACATCATGTAGGTCTGAAGATTCTTTTTTGAGGGCTTTTGTATGATAAATTCAATGTCTTTAAGTGGTTATAAGGGAGGCTGGATTACCAACTTCATCTTGGTTATGTTATCATAGTTTGCAGCTTTTAAAGAATTGGTCCATTTCCTCTAAGTTGTCATATTTGTAAGGGTACCATTGTGCATTAATTTTTTTCTTATTATCCTGATATTGGTAATTTGCATCTTCAATCTTTTTATCTTTGCCAGTCTTACTAAAAGTCTAGCAATTTTATTTTATGTATTTATTTTTAATTTATTTGACAGGTAGAGTTATAGACAGTGAGAGAGAGAGACAGAGAAAAAGGTCTTCCTACTGTTGGTTCACTCCCCAAATGGCCACTATAGCTGGAGCTGTGCCGATCTGAAGCTAGGAGCCAGGGGCTTCTTCTTGGTTTCCCATGCGGGTGTAAGGGCCCAAGCACTTGGGCCATCCTCCACTGCCCTCCAGGGCCACAGCAGAGACCTGAACTGGAAGAGGAGCAACTGGGACTGGAACCTGGCTCCCATATGGGATGCCAGCGCCACAGGTGGAAGATTAACCTAGTGCACCATGGCGCCGGCCACTCACAATTTTACTGATCATTCTATATAACCAACATTATCTTTCATTGTGCTTTTCTTTGTTTTCCTGAATTTCTTTTTTTTTTTAAGATTTATTTTATTTATTTGAAAGACAGAGTTACAGAGAGAGGTAGAGACAGAGAGAGAGGTCTTCCACCCGCTGGTTCACTCCCCAGATGGTTTCAATGGCGGGAGCTGTGCTGATCTGAGACCAGGAGCCAGGAGCTTCTTCTGGGTCTCCCACAAGGGTTCAGGGGCCCATGCTACTGCTACTGATTTCCCATGCCATAGCAGAGAGCGGGATTGGAAGAGGAGCTGCTGGGACTAGAACCGGTGCCCATATGGGATGCCGGCATTCCAGGCCAGAGCTTTAACCCGCTGCTCCACAGCGCTGGCCCCTTCCTGAAATTCTTAATTTATTTGTTTATTTAATTTTAATTCATGCATTCCTACTGGTTGTGTTGGGTTTGCAATTTTTCTAGTTTCGTGAGATGGTAACAAAGTTCCTTGACTTGATATCTCTGTTCTTTTTGAGTGTAGTTACTTGGTTTTTAATGTTTTCCTCTCAATATTGCTTAAACAGCATCCCACATGTCTTCTTGCTCTGTATTTCATTTTCAGGCAGTTTATCCATTTTCAATATTCATTATGACTTGCTCTTTGACCCTTTGATTATTTAGAATTAGACTATGTAATCCTCAAGTTTTCAGAGATGTTCCTATTGTATTTGTGCTAATGACTTCTACTTTGATTCCACTGTGGCCTAAGAATATATTCTGTATGTATGATTCAAATTCTCATACTTTTCCTATTTTATTTCCCAGGCCAGAATATGTTCAGTCCTGATAAATGCTCCATGGATGCTAAAAAAAAAAAATGACAAAAGAATTCTGGGGCCAGCACTGTGGCATAGTAGGCTAAGCCCCAGCATCCCATGTGGGTGCCAGTTTGTGTTCCAGTTGCTCCTCTTTGAATCCAGCTCTCTGCTTATGTCCTGAGAAAGTAGTGGAAAATGGACAAGTGCTTGGGCCCCTGTACCCATGTGGGAGACCCAGAAGAGGCTCCTGGCTTCAGATCAGCCCAGCTCTGGCCGTTGTGGCCATTGGGCGAGTAAACCAGCAGATGGAAGACCTCTCTCTCTGTCTCTCCCTCTCTCTGACTGTAACTCTACCTCTCAAATAAATAATAAAAACCTTTTTTAGAAAAGCATATTCTATTGTCGAGAGGAGTGTTTCATGTATTAGATTATGTCATGTGGGTTGGTTGTTCTGTGTTTGTCTATATTCTTTCTGATTTTCTGTATGATAGTTCTATTAGTTACAGAGAAGGAAACAATGAAGTCCTTGGCTCTAATTATGAGTTTTTCTATTTTGTCCCTTCAGTTATGTTACTTTGTGCTTCATGAATTTAGAGACTATTGTTTGGTGCATATATATATACTTAAGATATTATATATAATATATTATAGTATATATAATATACAATATATCATATATAATACACAACATATAATAATATATAACATATTATAGTATAATATATTAATATAATATATAATAAATAATAAATTTATATATGATGCATTATATATAATATCTCAAGTATATATACATATATGTATACATATATATATGTGTGTATATATATGTATTTAAGATAGTATATTTTTCTCTTGGAGATATCTGCTATTATTATGTAATGTTTCTCCAGCCTCAGGAAATTTTATTTGCTTTTTAGTCTAATTTATCTAATATAAATATAGCCTCTTTTGTTTTAAATTAATGTGTGCAAGTGTATTAGTTTCCTAGAGCTGATATACACAAAATACCACAAAGTGAGTGAGTGGTTTACACCAACAGAATTTTGCTCACTCGTGTTTCTGGAGATGAACAAAATCAAGGTGCTGGCTGGGCCATGCTGATTCTGAAGGCTCTAGAGAAAAATCCTCCCGCGTCTTTCCCAAGCTGCTGGTGAACCTTGGCAATCCTTGGCCTTCCTGAGCCTGTAGCTGCATCATTCCACCTCTATCTTTATACAACATTCCACCCAGTGGGTTTCGTTGGGTCTTTTCTGTTTCTTATAAAAGCTCTAGTTATTGGATTTAAGGCCCACCCCATTCTAGGATGACCTCATTGTCACCTCATTAACTGTGACTGCACAGACAAATAAGCTCACATGTTGAAGGCAATGCAGGGCCGGCTGCTCGGGGAGGGCAGTATTCACTGCATAGTATATCCTTTTCTATTCCTTTAGTTTCCGCTGACCTATGCCATTGTACTTGATGTGAGTTTCTTGTAGATAGTTTAGCTGATTTACGTTCCGTGATCAACTCTGCCCATCTCTGGCTGTTACTCGATATACTCTCTCTTCTTCTTCTGTGATGCTGAAAATACAGCTGCTGGATCTTTTATGATTGTCCTCAAGATCTCCAAGCCTTTTTGGGACAGTTTTCTACATAGTATTCTATCTTCAATATAGTTGACTTTCCCTTATAATAGTTACTTTGCTAATTAGCACTTGTTTTGAATGTTTTATATTTTAGTTATGTATTTTTCAGTTATTTAATTTCCATTTGGTTCCTTTTATATTTTCTAATTCTCTGCTAAGGATTTCTCTCTTTTTATTTGTTTCACAGGCATTTGTAATTGCTTTTTGAATTTTTTTATAATAACTGCTTTTCAAATCCACGTTGGATAATTCCATCATATGACCCATCTTGATTTTGGATTCTGTTGATTGCCTTTTCTCATTCAAGCCATAACTTTCCTGCTTTTTGGCATCATGACTGATTTTCAATTGTATCGTGGCATTGTGGCTGTGTTGTTAGATTATGGTCCAACCTAAATCCATTTCAATTAGATTTCACATGCAAGTTCTGACTTGCTTAGGTATACTGCAACGATAGTGGCAGTTTAGTCTTCAGCACCTCTTAGGTGCTAGTTTGGTAAGCTTCAGGCTCTCACATTTTGGTTTCAGCTACTGTGAAAAGAGGTACTTTTCCAGCCTAGGCCATCTGATTTCTCCAGGGAGAGGATGGGAGACTCTGGCCACCAGGGCTAAAATATAGTTCTCCAGATCATGATTTTGAGTGAGGATCCTAGTCTCTCTCTTTCTCTTGCCCACTGGTTCTGCCAGGTTGCAGAAGAGGACCTCTAGTCCACAGCTGAGTGAGCGCTTGCCTGGATGAAGCCATTTCCCATGCAGGTGCCACCAACCTCCCTAGTTTCTTGAGCTAGGCCAAGAAGTGTCTGACCTATAGAGACCCTTCAGGCTAGACTATGTATTGCTTTATACATAATTACAGCTTGAAAATGTAAGCAAAAGATTTTGGGGCTTCAGAGAGCTCATACCTTTCCACAAAAATATTGGGTCAATGAGATCTCATTAAAAGTGACAGAAAACACAAGGAGAAACATACATCATAGAAATTATGCCAGCAATTTTATGGACAAATGAGTACTCACTTTTATAAGATCTTCAATTCTTTTCAGATCACTAATGACATCATGCCAGTTGGCTTCTGTTTTAGGAAGACCTGCACTGATACAGCTGGAAAGGAAAGCACACAGAAAAGCATTTGGAATGAGCACACTAGTGCTTATAATTGAAGGAGCAATCAAGAGTTGTTTTATTTGGACTATTGAAAGGACCAGTGTTGCCCTTTTTCTCTGTATTCAACAGCTATAGAGAAATATAAATATCAAAAATATAATACAACCTTGACACTTTAGGTGTAACTCAAGTCTTGACCAATTAGCTAGGAGCCTAATTGCAGTCATAATTCATAAATAACCTTGATCAATTTATCACAAAGGGAGAAAAACAGTACCAGATGTGTGTTTAGTGCCCAAATAAATGTTTCTAACTGAAACATTAAATTTATTTAAGTAGAGGTTCTTTAGAAAGTTTTAGGTCTAACAAATAGATAAAGTTCTTAAAATAAGCAATAATCATTTTCATGTAATGATTTCAACAGTAAGTGTTCTTTACAGTGTGTCAATTTAGCCCCTTTCATATGCTCATGCTACTACTATGCTTGCAGCAGGTTTCTTCACAAATATTGTAGACTTTAGCCCAATCTGGGCTGAATAATCATATATTTATTCACTTCGGTAAAAATTTTAATTTGATATCCAGAAAAAGGCACTAACAGCAATCAAATGATTATGGAATGATTCCTGGAGCTTCAGGAAATACAGTCACTCTCTGAAGGGTCTTTTTAAAAGAAAAGAAAAGATTTATTTATTTATTTCATAGAGTCACACAGAGAGAGAAGGAGATAGAGAGAGAGAGAGAGAGGTCCATCCCCTGGTTCACTCCCCAATTGACCTCAACAGCTGGAGCTGTGCTGATACAAAGCCAGGATCCAGGAGCTTCTTCCGGGTCTCCCACATGGGTGCAGGGTCCCAAGGACTTGGGCCATCTTCTAGTGCTTTCCTAGGCGATTAGCAGAGAGCTAAATTGGAAGTGGAGCAGCTGGGACTTGAACCAGCGCCCATTTGGGATGCTGGCACTGCAGGGGGTGGTTTACCTGCTACACCACAGCACCAGCCCCTGATGTGTCTTGTAAAGAAGCATGACAGCCGACGCTACTCTTTCTTATGAGGAAAATTTAGTTGTACAACTCTGTTTTCTTATAGCCTAAGTAAGGTATCAGTACAGTGAAAATGAAACAGCAGTCACAGTACAGAACAATAGTGTGTATGCTTTAGGCCAACTGACTGCATAATAGTAGTTGAATCTAAGAGAAAGGAAAAAGTTAATAGGCACAGGAAAATATGGATCTTTATTAGAAGAAAAAGCAAAAATCTAAATAAAGGAAAAAACCTTTTATATGGAACCAAAATAGCAGTCAGGGAATAGGAAGAGTCAGTGCCAGGAACAGATTAGAAAAGTAACACAGTGAATCCTTAATACCCACTGCTGTGAACAGCATGTGAGGTATCAGTAAGTGAGGTATTTCCAAGATTAGCCAGGTATCAAGAGGCCTGTATTATTTGAAGAACGCACTACTCTTTGGGAATATGGCAAGAAATAGAAATTCTCATCAAGGTGTTCACCAAGCCTCCCAAATCCGTATAATCTTCCTTCTATAACATCCTGAATACTGAGTACTAATAAATATGAGAAAACTGAAGATGAACCACTTTAATGGGGAAGATATTCAAAGGCAATCATATGGCCATTAATCTAATGATACTTATGGTAAAATTAGGGGCTGGCATTGTGGCTCAGTAGATGCTGGCATCCCATATCAGAGTGTTGGATGGAGTGCTGGCAACTCTGCTTCCAATACAGCTCCTGCTGATGTGCCTGGGAAGCTTCATTTGATGGTTCGAATATGTGGGTCCTTGCCACCCATGTGGGAGAAACAGATGGAGTTCCCGACTCCTGGCTCCTGGTTCTGGCCAGGCACTACCTTGACTGTTGTAGCAATTAGGAAAGTCTCTCCCTCTCTCTCCTTCACTCTGCCTTTCAAATAAATAAGTAAATCTTTTTAAGAAAACAAAACATTACCCAAAAATGAAGACATGAATGCCAGCCTCAGCTAAAAAATGACTGTTTAGGAGTAAACACAGGTAGCACTGGATGGAAGTACTTCTCAGATACGGTTTCTGAAAAACAGAATTATAGACAAGATGATAATATTTTTAGCAGAAAGCTTAAGTTTAAAACAATGTCTTATTCTTTTTTATATGCAAAATGTGCTTTTATCACAATTTTACAATTAATGATCATTAGTAGAAATGATGAAACTTAAAATTTATCTTTGTTTTTCTGCTTTTTCTCCCTTACCTCCAAGTCTGTCTCTTATGTTCTAAATTCATTAACAGATATTTCTTCAGATGAATGTCAATGTTAACAACTTAACAAGGTTACATATAAGTGAACTGTATATATATATCAATATGACCACTCAATTTTTTTCTTATTCTTTGACTTCTCATTCATCCTTCTCTCCTTTTTTAACAGGCTAACATAAGTATAATAACATACATTGCTAACATGGAAGCAGTATTTCTATGTTAATTTCATGTGACTGTATAAAATTAATTATATGTTAACATCACCTAGAGAAAAAATGGATAAAATGGAATCAATTAAATATGTTCTTTTCCTTCCTGACAGACATTATATAATTTTCTTGGTAATTTGGAAAAGTTATTTATCTCAACATTTTCCAGAGTTTTAATACTTTTATCTTCTTCTTGTGGGTTGTCAAATCTTTAATAGTTTCAAAAAGTAGTGTTAATTACCACTTTGCACACCAAGAGTCTTTGCTTCATTTAGTCTACACTGAAGATATGAATAATACCAGGCCTTGCCCTCAAAGACTACATAATTTACACAGTAGATAGACATTTAACAAACAAAATAGAGTTAGATAAGTGGAATAATGTATTCACAATGGCATGAAGCATGTAGCAAGATTATTAATAGAGCTCTTAAAAACCTATTTTATTTTTCTTCAAAATAGGAATAAACCTTATGTGAACAGATATGTGTGACATCCCAATATCATTAGAGAATAATCATATAACTTATTATGAAATATCTAAATTACAAGTGATTTGTTAAGAAAAATCTGTATGCTGATTTCATTTATGTTTTCCTACCGAAATTCTCATTACTCAATGCCAGGGTAAATCCTTAAGAACTGAAGAAGAGCTGGCTATGACGATGGGTTTCCAGCAGCCATCCATCCAGAATGCCTCCTAGAAAACAGCGAGGGTGAGGGATGATCCATTAAAACAGGCAGACAGCATGGGGGAAAGAAAGGGAGGGAATTAGTATTCATTTAGCACTGACTTTATTTTTTGGAGAAGATGGACAGACAGATAGAAAGTGAACTTTCATCCACTGATTCGCTTCCCAAATGCCTGCAACATCTGGGACTGACAAACTGAAATCAGGAGCTGGAAACTCAATCAATTCTCCCACATGGGTAGCTAAAACTCAATCACTTGAGTGAACAATGTGCATTAGCAGGAAAGTGGAGTCAAGAGTTGGAGCCAGGTATTAAAACTCCAATGTGGGATGTAGTCATTTTAACTGATGTCTTAACTGTTAGGCCAAATGCCTTCCCGGCACCTACTTTTTAATGGATGCTTTATTACTTACTTAATATATGCTGGATCACAATTAATTCTCACAATACTACTGTAGGGTAAGGTTAACAGCATTAGGGCAAGCTACTGAAACCCCACAGCAAAAAACATTACAACCAAAATTTCAGACCTAGTTTGTCTAATTACAAAACCCAAACGCTTTGCTACATTATGTCCCTGAATTGACAAATTCCAGAGCGATGTATATGAAAAGCAGATATAACCAAATACTTGAATTCGTATAACCGCTGCCTGTTAGTCTAACTTACACAGCAATAACTCTTTGTACAGACCTTAAATAAATGTCTTCAGTCTGATGAAATAAATGACTATTAACTGAAACATCATTTGAAAATTTTGTAAATAACAAAATTCTATTTTTTTCTAATTCAAAGCTGGTAAAGAAAGTGAAAATCGAACTTTCTCTCATTTGACTACATTTAATTTAAAATATTTAAAATAAAAATATTTGAAGTAAAAACTTTTATTCATATTGTCATTTAAATATAGCTTAAATATAGTATGCATTTGTTGACCTCCTCCACAAAGTTCAATGTGCCACATCCCCTGAACACAAGTATTCACTGTGATTAATTTCAATAACTCAGATAACTAAATTATTAGACTTCCCAGTTGTTCAATTCAAAAAGTTATTATTAAAAATATATAATGAATTACTCTTTTCTTTTTTGACAGGCAGAGTGGACAGTGAGAGAGAGAGACAGAGAGAAAGGTCTTCCTTTGCCGTTGGTTCACCCTTCAATGGCCGCTGCGGCCGGCGCACTGTGCTGATCCGAAGGCAGGAGCCAGGTGCTTCTCCTGGTCGGCCCAAGCACTTGGGCCATCCTCCACTGCACTCCCTGGCCACAGCAGAGAGCTGGCCTGGAAGAGGGGCAACAGGGACAGAATCCGGCACCCCAACCAGGACTAGAACCCGGGCTACCGGTGCCACAAGGTGGAGGATTAGCCTAGTGAGCTGCGGCTCCGGCGATGAATTACTCTTAAAAGGGAAAGTTAACATTTATCTAGATATTAAGCAAGATACCGTAAGGATATATCCAGCAGGAATACTTTTTGTCTGACAAAACATATTAAATCAAATCTTCCAATTAAGCATGATCTAAATCACTCATTAATTCATTTAGTTAAAGCAAATCCTCTTCATTGCTCTCATCTTACAGTCACTCTCTTTGTGTTATCTCAGTGCTTCAAATTTCTTATAAAACTCCCAATTATCTTTGTAATTTCATCTAAAGCCTCTTAAATTCCCTGCATTGTTGTGGAATCCCAAATTCCACATTGTTGAAACAATAATAGTATTTATCGATTTGGCCTTGAGTACTGGGAAGGGTGATACAGTTTTTAATCTGGCCTTGGGAAGCTACTTTCCGAACAATGGGGAATCATCGTGTGCTCCTCTAGCAGGGGGTCTCTGAAATGTCACAGTGGACTTCACTGCCCTGCCCGGTGACTCCCTGCTGTTGTAAGTACTCATAAAGAAGAATAAGTGCTCTGGCCACAGTGCTGCACAATAGAATACGGTTGCCAACTGGAGGGATGCAGGAGGAAGCATCCTCCAAAGCGTCTAACAAAATAATGGTAATGGGAACCTGTGTAGCTGGAAAGGAACATGTCACAGCTGTGATCGTGACTCGGCAAAAGAACAAGGCTTTCTGAGCTGACAGTGAAGGATCTGGGTTTTCCCAAACAATCAACCTGCCACATGCTATAGTTTCGCAGACTAAAAATTGTACTGAAAATATATGGGTGTGCGTGTGTGTGTGTAAGTTTGTGTGTGTGTGAATCCTGTGGGTCACAGAAACCTGAAAACACAAAAACGTGCTATCTTTTCTTTGGGAGCAGGAACCAATGATAACTATATATAGTTAGTATATATACATATATAGTAGTATATATGTATTAATTATATATATAGTAATATACCCACTATCCATGATGAAATATTAACTAGAATAAATATTGTTTATCTAATGTTTTATATTTCATATATATTGCATTTGATACTGGGAATATCTTTAAGTGGGAGAAGCTACTCTTATTTTACAGTGAAGAAACCGATTTTGTGAGAGGTTAAGTGACTCAGTTCTGGTATATGGCATGCATAGAGCCATGAAAATGTTTCCATATCATCTGGATTGAGCAAGGGGAGGGAGGAGGCAACACATTTCGACTCCATAGAGAAAGTATCTGAATCAACCCATGGGAATAATAAAAAGCTACTGCTCTCTGAGTATGCAAAAGCAGGTCCCTCAAACAATTCTGCCACACAAGGGAACTCACGTTTACATACATTACATCTGCATTCTGTCATTAGACTTTCACAAAACACCTTTTAGGAAGAAGTGGCTGACACCAATGTAATTACTTTCGAGGAGGCAAATATAGAGTGGAAACTTTCTACTTCCCTTTCTGCCACATTATTTGAAGAACTATAGAAGCAGTGTTTAATTCTGCCATACTAATTGCAAACAGTCATGAAATGCCCTCATAATCAGTCCCTCTTTGGTTTCTGCTTCATTACTGTGGGTCCTAGATCTGACAATAGAAAAGATGAAATCCCAGGCCAAACCTCCAGGAGCTATTCACAGGGTTTTAGGCAGGAGAGTTCTGGACCTTATAACTAGGTCTCACTGCAGGGTGACTGCCAGCCGCATGGCACCACTGCCATCTTAGCAGGATGATACTGCTCAGGAGGGCAACTTCCCAGAGAATGGCCAGTTCAACACAGTGGGGCAGCTCTGGCAGCTTTAATGCTGGACTGCTTTGTGAAAATAACATATTACATTCTGTACAAGCGTTGCAGTTCTTCCCAGAGAGGAAATAAAAGCTAACATTGATGGAACAAACACATAAGCCTCAGCCATTCCTGCTCATTGCCCAAAAGGTAGATGAATATCAGAATTTATTCCTTGTCCTTGAATCGTAATTGTCTTTAACCCCACCCCTGCATTCTTCCCCAGGTTCAGAGGCCCAGAGGCCACTTGAAAGACCAGTGTGGAGGAATTCGCCTCTGCCTGCTGCCTCCTACCCCGGCCCCAACCCCTAGCCCTCCTAAGATATAAGAAAGCCCAGTCTGGGTCTCCTGACAGGTGTTCCGGCACTCAGTTCTGGTATATGGCATGCATAGAGCCATGAAAATGTTTCCATATCATCTGGATTGAGCAAGGGGAGGGAGGAGGCAACACATTTCGAACTCCATAGAGAAAACGCTGGCAGCTGGTCACCTCTGCGGATTTACTGTCTCTGAATAAACTTGCTCTGGCTGTAGATTTATATTCCTGCCTCCTCCCCGTGCTGCAACTCTTTTCCTGGTATTTTTGTGCCCCATGTGAGGAGGCAGCAATCTGCACTCTTTTCCTAACAAACATACTTGCAATGTTGTTCTGTTCTGCTTATTTACTTGTCCAGTCACACATTTCAAATTTATAAATAGATTTACTAATAAAAGACATGTAAGCATTGCATTACTCTGAATATATACCACTTGTTTACTCAAAAAAAAAAAAAACTAAGTTAAGCTAAAGAAGAAGGCAAGCCAAGACTGAGTATAAAGACTGTAAGACAGCACTGCTGTCCTTAAGTCAATTAGTCAATATTAGTTGAGCACTTACTATGGGCTGTTTTGTATGACCTTGGGTTGCATCATTGATTGCAAGAGAAAAATAACCTTTATTTCAGGAAGTCAGACCATACATAACAAACCAAGTAAGTTCATTTTATATTTGATCAGAGAGTTACAAATACTACGGAAAAAAAAAAAACACAGAATGAGATTAGAAGCATGGTGTTGCAAGTTTTTGTAGGATGTTCAGAATAGTTTATCAAGAATGCAAAATTGGACAAAACACACATAACAAGGGCATTAGCTCCAACGATGTCTTAAAGAACAGCATTTGATGTGGTAGGAACAGCTGAAGCAAGGTCTCCAGGGCAGCAGCCAACCTGTGACTTTGGGGGACAGAAAAGGGGCCAATGTGGGGCCAGCTCTGTGGCGTAACATGTAAGACCGCCACATGCAGTGCCAACATCCCATATGAGCACCTGTTCAAGTCCCGCTGCTCCACTTCTGATCCAGCTCTCTACTAATGGCCTGAAAAAGCAGTGAAGATGGCCCAAGTGCTTGGGCCTTTGCCACCCATGTGAGAGACCTCGGAGAAGCTCCTGGTTCCTGGCTTTGGCTTGGCCCAGCCATGGCCATTGTGGCTATTTGGGGACTGAACCAGTATATGGAAGATCTGTCTCTCTATATATTTCTTTCTCTCTCTGTAACTCTGACATTCAAATAAATAAATCTTAAAGAAGAGAAAAAATAAAAGAAAGAAAAGGAGAAGTGGAGTGAGCAAGGGAGAGCAGTCTGAGATGACGTCAAAACGTAGGTGGTAAAGGGTGGATCTAGATCTAGTCAGGACATTTCAGTTACTGCAAGGATCTGAAAATGAGAAATCACTACATATAATTGACATAGTCTGAATTTCTTTGTTAAGAATCTCTCAGGCATTGGGCCAGCACTGTGGTAAAGTGGGTTAAGCTGCCACCTGTGACACTAGCATCCTATATGAGCACTGTTTAGAGTCTCAGCTGCTGCA